ATGAGCAATCCCTTTGGTTTTTTTTTCAGTCTAAGGCCTTTTGGATTCAACTTAAAAGACTCCAAGCAAATACATTTCTACTGGTCTTTGTTTCATCCCTGATAAAGAACCAATCAATCCTGTATTTAAAACCATGGTTCAAAAATAAAAATCCTATAATTAAACATAATCTTTACTACCTTTTTGTTTCTTTTCTTTTTTGTTGTTTTTTTTAAAATACTTCTTTAAAATACTTCTATTTCCCTTTGAAGCACCTACTATTGCTTCACTCTCCCCTTTTTGTTGTTGTTCAGTTGTTTCATTCATGTCTGATTCTTCATGACACCATTTGGGATTTTCTTGGCAAAGATACTGAAGTAGTTTGCCATTTCCTTCTCCTGCTTATTTTACAGATGAGGAAACTGATGCAAATAGGGTAAAGTGACTTGCCTAGGGTCACACAGCTAGTAAGTGTCTGAGGACAGATTTGAACTCAGGAAGATCAGTCTTCTTGACTTTAGGCCTGGCATTGTATCCACTGTGCCACCTTGTTACCCCTCTCCTCTCCCTTAATTTCAGGGAAAACAACATATCATCATGATAGCAATTCACATTTTCCATTCATTTCTCCCTCCTCCCCACCCTCTTGTTGCTCTAATAATGATATGAGCTTGGGCAAGTCCCTTAATCACAATGAGTCTAATTTTCCTCATCTATAAAATGGGGAGAATAGTATTTGCAGCATATATGCCTCACAAAGCTAAATGTGAAGATGAAATAAGAGAATATATGTGAAGGATTTTGCACATGGCAAAGTGATATCAATGTTAGCTACTCACACGTTTTAAATATATAATAATAAATGAGCTATTAAGTGGTACCTTTGGCCTTTAATCAAAATCAGCTTTCTTATTGTGATTATGCACATAGGGCCCTATTCAGCTCTGGATGTAATGCCCTCCTTCATTAAGGATGCCCTCAGATGCCTAAGTGAAACTTGCAGTCGAAGCTGGAATAATCTTCCCTCTCAGAAAGGTTCTGTTGGTTCTGGGGCGAGCAAAATGATGAATGATACTTGACTACTCAGCTAGCCAGGGTACACTTTGTTATCTTTGTTTGTTTGGGGCTTTTGTTTTTGTCTTTTATTTGTTTGTTTTTGGCTAGGCAATGGGGTTAAGTGACTTGCCCACGGTCACACAGCTAGTAAACGTCAAGTGTCTGAGGGCAGGTTTGAACTCAGGTCCTTCTGACTCCAGGACCGTTGCTCTGTCCACTGCGCCACCTGGCTGTTCCATCTTTGTTTGATAGTAGCAGGTAACAAGCTGATCCTTGCTGATTTATTAGCTCCTCTATCTCAATTAATTTATATTGCAATCAACGAGACTCCAGCACTAAGGATTTTGAAGTCACAGGCGAGAAACTGAAGATGTCAGGGACAGAGGGTATCACTGCTCGTGATTGAAAGCAAAATTTCAGAAGACAGACGTGGAAAATAAGTAGCTTGTGGAGTGAAGTATGAATTGTATTATATGACCCTTAAGATCCCTTCAGCTCTAAGACTGTGTGATTCTATAGCTGTCCTTTTTGGCAGTGAGGCGGTACAGTGGATAGAGTGCTGGGCCTGGAGTCAAGAGGACCTGAGTTCAATTCAGCCTCAAACACTTACTAGCTTTGTGACCCTAGGTAGGTCACTTTACCCTGCTTGCCCCAGTTTCCTCATCTGTCAAATGAGCTGGAGAAGGAAATGGCAAACCACTTTACTATCTTTGCCAAGAAAACCCCAAATGAGGTCACAAAGAGTTGGACACGACTGAAACAACTGAACAACGACAACAAAGAACTGAAACTTAGAAGGACTCACATCCCAAGTGACTTTTTTGTATATTGCATATTATTGTATTATTATATATTTGTATATATTATATATTACATATATTTGTATATTGTATATTATTAAAGCTGTGAATGGCCCATAGAAGTGGAAAATAACCCTTTAAGGTAAGCCTTTTAGGGTATATGAATAATTTCCTCATTCATACTTGCTAGAATTATATGGGAGCTATTCATTGGATACTAATAGCTAACGTTTAAATAATGTTCTAAGGTTTGCAAACCATTTCATATAAAATATCTTATTTGATCTTCACAATTACCCTGTGAGGTAGGTGCTATTGTTATCCCTATTTTACAGATGAAGTAACAGATTCAGAGAGACAAAAGTGACTTCCCAACATCACACAGCAAGCCAGTGTCTGAGACAGGATTCAAATTTAGGTGCTTTCTGACTACCGTGCTATTATAGTCATCTTGGATGACTAAAGGATCAGCCACATCCCTGCTGGCCTTTAAAGAGTAAGCTAGCCAGCCCCAAATTTCAAAAAGGGGGGCTCCCCTCTGGAAGAGGGGCAAGGGAAAAGGTGAAGAATGATTCTCTCTTAAGAGCAGGGTTCTTTCCTCCATAGCTAGCTCTCCTCTGGACTGCCAAAGAGGATCCCCTCCTTCAATTTTGCCCTCCTTGTGATCTTGTCACCTCTTTGTTTGGGCTTTATCGATGTAGCTGGTCCCATTTCCAGATGAGCCGTGTTGTGATACCACTGAGTGGACTACAGCCATCAGTAACGGTTCAGTGCAAAGCATTGGTGGGAGAGATGCAAACTGGAGACAAAGCATTTCTCTGTCATTATAGAGCTCACGTTTTAGATAATCCAACAGTTATCTGTCATACATATTAATAGGTGAGCACATAAGAAAGGTGGAAACAAAGTACCAGGCAAGGAGGAACATTCTTAGCCAGAGGTAGTGTGGTGAATGGGATGCTGGTCTTATCAGAAAAACCTGGATTCCAGACCCAATTCTGCTGCTTCCTCACTATACGACCCTGGGCAAGTGTCTTAACCTCAGCCTCAGCCTTCTATTCTCTAAAATGGAAAGGTTGGCTTCTGTAGCTCATCTCTAAATCTTTGAACCTGTGACCTTTGGGTTTGATCAGGAAGGTCTAGAGTGGTGCTTAGCACCAGAAGAGGGTCTTGCACATAGAAGTTATTTAATGAATGTCCAGTTGAGTTGAAGTCAATTGAATTGAGGCAGTATTGACATTGAGCACTGAAGGACAGTGAGGAATTCAATAGGCAAAGAAAGGGAAGGAAGGCAACACTCAGAGACAAGATGGCCTAAGGTATGTCCCATGGGGTCAGAGAGCTGTCCAGTTTGGGGCCAGCATTAGAGTTGTTGTTGTTTATCCTTCATGCTTGAAGAGGACCAGAATGACATCGTGGTGTCAGAGTCAATGTATGGTGTGACTGGGTGTGGCTGATCAGATCAATACAAGCTCAGAAGGCTCTGGATGGTGGAGGGGAGGAGTATAAAAGAGTTGTCAAGGGAGAAAATTATTTGCTTACTCACTGCTGATGACTGAAACTTGGAGACTTGGGATAGGGGCCCCCTTGTCCTGGCTGTTTAGGATTGTAATAGATTTAATGATTGTCATCAAAACATCTATAGCCCTAAACAGAAGCAATGTTACTGATCTGCTGTCAGCAGTACATGTATATGTCACTTCCTGGGCCTCAGTTTACTACTCTGTCAAATGGAATTTGAGTTTCTAAAGCCCCTCCTGACTCTGACGTCCTATGTTCTTTGTTCTAAGAGTCCTTCTATGGCCAGACATTCTGTGGCTTTTGTGGTTGGCTCAGTACAGTGCTGGGCATATAGATGCTTGTGGACTGAACTATGTATGCAAGACTTCCTCCAACTGAAGTAATATTTACTGTGCACTCCAAGCACAGTGCAGTGAGAAAAGCCATGCACCTGTGTGCACGTGTGTGACTTGACTCAAGTCATTTAACCTCTGGAACCCCAGCCTCAGTTTGCTCATTTTTAAATGGAGATAAATGCTACCTGTAGTACCCATAGCATGAGGTTGTTGTGAGGAAAGCGCTCTGTAAATTGTAAAACATTATATAAAAGTCATAGCTATAAACATATATACATATATATATACACACACATATATAACTTTGAGGTTTGCAAAGCACTTTATATATGTTATTTCATTTGATCCTCACAACCCCATGAAGTCAGTGCTATTATTATCCCCATTTTTACAGATGAGAAAACTGGGGCTAAGAGCCATTAAGGGACTTGCCAAAAGTCACACATCTAGTAAGGATTCCCAGCATTTAGCACAGTTCCTGGCACACAGTAAGCACTTAACAAACGCTTGTTGGTTGAGTGCATGAATGCAGCAGGCTGCAGCGGATGCTGTTTAGAAGGGTACCATGAACTATGTATTGTATAGTTGCACTTGTATATCTGTGTCAAATGTTGGCATTCTCTAGTGCGTCTTTGGGAGGGATGTAACCAGAATGTAACCAGAAATAAATATTTTAGGAAAGAAGGAAGAAAGAAAGGAAAGAAGGAAGGAAGGAAGGAAGGAAGGAAGGAAGGAAGGAAGGAAGGAAGGAAGGAAGGAAGGAAGGACATTGAGAAGCTAGAACACTTTCAGAGGAGGGTTACCAAGATGAGGAAGGGACTTAAAAATCATGCTGGAGTAGGATTGGTGGAAGGAACTGGGAATATTAGCCTGGAAGAGGGAAAGACTTATGGGAGGCATTATCACTCTCTTCAAGCATGTGAAGATCTACCATGAGGAAGAGCAATTAGGCTTCTATGTGGCCCTAGTGGGAAGAACCAGAGACCAAAGTGACAACTGTTAGGAAGGTGCATTTTGGCCCAATATGAGGAAGAACACCCTAACAATTAAACCTGCTGAACAATAGCATAGACTGCCACATGAAGTAGTTATGATCTGTCATAGGAAGTATCAAAGCAGAGAATGAATGGCCACCCACCAAGGATATTGTAGAAAGGATTCATGCATGAAACAGAGGTTGACTAAAATGTCTTCTAAGGCCCATCCTCCTCCAATAGTCAATGATTCTAAGTACTCTTTGCTTTGCTTTGCTCTCCAGATGTCTAGCCACAAATATATTTCATGTCTTTGTGTGTTTTTTGATTTTCAGAAATGAATTCAGAGCGTGGACGGATATTAAGCCTGTGAAACCTATCCGAGCCAAGTCCCAGTACAAGCCCCCAGAGGACAAGATGGTTCACGAAACCAGCTATAGTGCCCAGTTCAAGGGTGAGCCAAACAAGCCCACACCAGCAGAGAATAAAGTCATTGATCGCAGAAGAATCCGCAGCCTCTATAGTGAACCTTTCAAGGAATCATCTAAGGTGAGTTGAAGCCAACATGGAGAAACACACTGACATTTTCCTACAGCTCAGGGCACAAGAACCCTCTCCCACCCTAAAGGATAGGGAAGGGCTCAAAAGGTGTTGCCAAAGATGCAGCTATAACATAAATAATAGTAGTAGCTCGCACTAATTTAGCACTTTAAGATTTGCAGAGTGCTTTCTAAACAACTCGTGAGGTAAAAAGTACAAGTGTTGTTACCCCCAGACACAGTGGTTAAGAGAAAGTGAAGGGACTTGCCTTTGATTACACAGCTAGGAAATATCTGTGGCAACATTTGAACCCAGGTCTCCTGAATCCAAATCTAGTACTCACAAAGTACTAGAGTACACAGAGTAATCTCTTCCTAGCTCTTTCATATACTCTGTGTGGCTGAAGACCCCAGGCAGCTGGCAGGAGACCCCACATAGATTCTCTCTGTCCTCAAGGGAACACAGATTTAGACACACAAAGAATGGTGCCCAGCTCATCAGACTCCCAAGAGCTCTGCTCTTGCATGCTCCTCTGCACCAAGTTCTCACCTGCCACTCTTGCTCCTTGCTCCTGTCAATACAGTCCCAGTATAGGATCCAGTATAGTATAGGTCCAACATAAGACTCTCTGGCCTAGGGGGAGAGAGGGTGACACCTTCATTAGGGCTGTTGGCCACAGTTATCATTTCCTTTTCCACAATTCTACTGTCCTGGTTCCCTGATTGTAATAACACTGGACACAGATTTTTCCTCCCAAACTCTATTGATTTCATTTCATTATACAGAAATTTTCATTGTAATGGGATTTCTAGTCCTGACCTTTCTATTTCTTCATAGGTTTGCATTTGCATTGCATTCCATATCTCACTGTTGATAGTATAATGCTCTAGGTATCATTGTTCTTTTCATATCATAAAATGACACATCTTGGTAGGGACAGTAACTAACTGAGCTCAGCCAGAGAAGACAACCAGAGTGAAGAGGAGAAGGCTGGAGACCATGACATACAAGAATCCTTTTAAAACAATCCACATTGCAAAGTGGTGGAGTAGTTGTTTTCCATAAACCTGAAGTCCTCAGAAAAAGGAATTATGTGACAAGTACCATGTTTGTTAACTAGTGCTGAATCTACAAGGTAAGAAAATATATTACACAAGGTAAAAAAAAAACCCTCATGAAATAACACTGGACAACCATAATACTTAAGGTCACATAATGCCCTCTCGTATGTATCCAGCTTGTGCTTTCTTGTAGGCATGTGCTTTGGGGGTTATTTGAGAAGGTCCCTGCCCAGGCATCCCACATCAGTGACTTGGCCTGAACTATCCTCACAACATTCTACGAGAGAAGGCAGGCACAAATACTACTCACTTAGTCAAAGGGATGTGGGAATGACTGGGAGGTGAGGAGGAGTGTCATGGTAAAGATGTGGTCAGTGGACAGCCAGCAAGAGGGGAAAAGAACAGTGACTGTAGAAAGGGAGATGGACATGCAGTGGGAGCCACTCTTGGGTCTCCCAAAGTTCATTCTAGGCAAAGCCTTGGGCATACATCCCAATACTAGGAGGCTGAGGACATCCAGCTATGAAGAAATAGAAAGGGTAGAGGCCAAAGAGTGAGGGAAGAGAGCAGAAACAAGCAGCTAGAATACAAGAGAAAGGCTGAAAGACCAAAAGAGGAGGAAGCCTGAGCACAGGCCTAACTCACAGGCAGATAAACCAGCAGAGTAGCTCAAAAAGACAAAGAAAATGAGGCAGAATTCAATGGGGAAAATGTTACACTGCAAAGGAAAATTAATCAAAAATCCTCAAGGAGAAAGAGAATTCTTTGAACTCCCCAGAGGTCATGAAATAACAAGAAACACTAGAATGGTTCAAAATATACATAAAACTTTTAAAAGAGGCATTAGGAATTAAATTAGATTAAAAATCCAAGCTCTCAAAGTAGAACATTTTTTTAAAAACAAGGCACAGAAGTTAGAAGACCTGGTGGAGAGTCTCCCCAGAATTAGAGACTCTGAAAGAATGACACATTTGCGACGGAAAAATACAAAATGCAGGAGACAGTTTTGCAAAAGAAAAGCAGTTTTAAGAGAACACATGAATTCTATTCAAGCCAAAGGGACTGACAATAGGCACAAAGAAACATAAGGATCATAGTTCTCCCAGAAAAAAAATATGACAAATCACAAAACCTATCATATGGCAAGAAAAAATAGAAAACTGAGCAGAACTATTGAATGAAGATGACAGAGTACCACTGACACAAATGTTGATACCGGAGGAAAACACTCCATGCACAAAAACTCCAAGGCATGTAATGGCTAAATGACCAACAGATTTTACAGGCAGCCAGAAAAAAGACCTTTAGCTATAAAGGCGAACACCAATTCAAATAACCAGAATTGCTCTGTAGTTGTGAGAAATAAAAGGAGAGAATGAAATAGTATTTCTAAAAAGCAAAGAAGGTCAGGGTCAACATAGTCCACAGCAATGTGTCCCACAAAGCTGAGCCCAACTATCCAGTAGGAAAAAATGGTGGGCTTTCAGCAAAAGACATTGGAGGTATTCGTGAAGGGAAAAATAAAAATAATAGTAATAATAGTAATAGCATAGAGGTGAGCAGAATAAGCAACTTATAAACATACTCAGTGAGAAACATAACAAAGGTAAATACTATTATTAAAAAAAGTGATTTCATTTGAAATGAAATCAGTTTTCTCATGTTTAGTGGCTATTGTTTAAAGAAAAAGAAAAGAACTCATGGGGTAATATATAAAGGACAGATATTATCAAGGGACAAAATGCCTTAAGAGACACTTCAAGAGGCACAGAAGGAAAGGAGAGCTAAATTAACACTCTATGGACTAAACCCTCAGGTCCTTCATAAGTGAATCAATATCTTTTGAGGGTAAGATAACAAGCTGGGAAGTTGCTGAGCTAAGAGACAGACAGGGCAGAAAATGTACCCATACCCAGTCCCTGCGTGAACAGAAAAGTGAAAGTGAATTGCTTTAGTCTCTCAATAAAGGGGGTGTGGAAGAATAAGATAAAAGCAATTGAGGGAAGGGACTGGGATGGGGGTAGAAGGAATGTCAACCCCTGACAAGAAAAGGAAAGAATGCAGCTAAGGAACATTCCTAGGGTGCAGGTTGTATGTCTTTGGTAAAAGATATGGGTCATAAATTGGGTTTTGTCTTGGGGGAAATTGCTTATTAGGATATCATCTCGTGTTGGAAAGAGTTGTATCTTCCAGCACTACGTTCAAAGCAAGAAAAGCAGACATCTGAGTCCCCAGGGTCAGGCAGCACCCAGGGTGATAGCAAGAACTTAGAACTGGTGTCAAGATAACTTCTTTTTAGAAGAAGTGAGTAAAATGAGGAAGACAGAGTATAGGACCAAGCCTTGTGACTCTGGCTACAGTGCAATATCCACACAGTACAGCTTCCTTTTGATATTGCTTTCTTCATGAGTTAATATTCATTAATACAATGAGGTAGATTGGGGTGGGGGAAAGGAGGACTGGGTAAGACCTTTAAATGCAGTAACATAGAGAAATAAAAGTAGGAGTTCATATTTGGTCCTCCAAAAGATATGCCCTCATGAAGGACACAGAATAAGGATGAAGCAAGTAATAGTTGAAAGCCTCTTTCCACATGGAATCAGGAGGAACAGCAAAGAGGCCAATGAATATTGGATCAGAGAATACATGGAGGAGAGTAGGGGATAAGAAGACTGGAAAGGCAAGAAAGGGCTAGATTATGAAGGGCTTTAAATGCCAGGCAGAATTGTATGTTTGATCCTTGAGGTGACAGGGAGCCACTGAAGTTTATTGAATGATGGAGGAGAGGGGGAGGAAAAGAAGTGACACAGACCTGTGCTGAGCAGAAGTTGAATGGGAGTGAGGAGAGACGAGGTAGGGAATTCCATCAGGGTGGGAGGCTATTGCAATAGTCCTGATGTGAGGTGATGATGGCCTGCACCAGAGTGGTGGCAGCGGCATAGGAGAGAACAAAGCATAGATTAGATCTGTCTTATAAGTAAAACTATAAACATAATTAATCATGTTAATTACAAGAACAATAAAAATCATATAATTGTATCAATAGATGCAGAAAAATATTTTGCCAAGATATAACACCTGTTTCTGTTGAAAATACTAGAAAACATAGGAATAAATGGACTTTTCCTTAATATGGTAAGTAGTATCTAACTAAAACCTAGAATCAGCATTATATGTGATGGAAATAGACAGACAAAATCCTTTCCAGGGTTTAAGCAAGGATGGTCATTGTCATGACTACAATCAGATATAGTACTAGAAATGCTGTCTGTAGTAATATACTCAAAGAGGAAACAAAGTTTCACTTTTGTAGATGATATGATTCACTTAGAGAATCCTAGAGTCAACTAATAATTAATCAAATTAATTAATAACTTCAGCAGAGTTGCCGAATAAAAAACAAATCCACATAAATTATCAGTATTTGTCTACATTACCAACAAAACCTACCAGGAAGAGATAGAGAAATTCCTTTTTGAAAACTACAGAATGTATTTATAGCATTATATATACAATACTCTGTAGTATATCCTATCAGGACACACACAGGAACTATATGAATGAAACTACAAAACACTCTTTCCAGAAATAAAGATAGACCTCAATAATTAGAGAAATGTTAGTTGTTCGTGGGTAAACTGTGCCAATATGATTTTTTAAATGACAGTATTACCTAAATTAACTTCCTTAGTGTTTTGCCAACAAGACTGCCAAAGATTACTTTGTAAAGCTAGGAAAAATAATGAAATTCATATGGAAGAACCGAAAGTCAGAAATATGGACTGGAAATAATGGGAGAAAAAGTGGGAAAGAAGGAGGCCTAGCAATAGCAGATCTCAAGCTATACTACAAAGTAGTAATCATCACAACAGTTGGGTGCTGTTCGAAAAATAGAAAGGTCAATCAGAGAAACAGATTAGTTATACAACTTATGGAAGCAAACAAACACAATAGTTTGATAAACATAGCAGTTCGACCCAAAGACCCCAGCTACTGGGAAAACAATTTATTATTTAATGCAAACTTCTGGGGAAACTGGAAGCAGCCTTGCAGAAACTGGGTAGAAACCACCTTCTCATGCCATATACCAAAATAAGCTCCAAATGGATATATAGCTTAGATGTAAAGTGTTTAATTATAAACAAATTAAATGAGTAAAGAAGAAATTAGCTTCCAGATCTATAGATAGAGGAAGAGCTCATAACTAGACAAGGGATAATGAGGATCACAGAAGATAAAATGGACAATCTTTATTACAGAAAATTTAAAAGTTTTTACAGAAATTAAGCAAATACAGCTAAGATTAGAAGCCAAACAGTTAACTAAAGGGAAAAAATCCTTTGCATCAAGTTTCTGTGATAAAGGTGTAATTTCTAACATATATGATGAACTGATTCAGATTTATAAAAATAATAGCCATTCCCCCAATCAATAAATGGCCAAAGAATGTGAATAAGCAGTTCTCAAGGGAAGACATTCGAGCTATCAATAGCTATATGAAAATATACTCCAAATCACAAACGACTAAAGAAAGGCAAATCAAAGCAGCTGAGCTTCCACCTTATACCTATCAAACCGGCAAAGGTGACAAAGGACAATGAAATGTAGAGGGGCCATGGAAAAGCAGGCACTCTAAGGCACTGGTGCTGGATCTGTGAATTGGCCCTGCCACTCTGGAAAACTATTTGGAACTATGCCACAAAGATTATTAAATTGTAACTTCAACATAGTTACTATGCCTATATCCAAAAGAGATCAAAGAGAAGAGAAAAGGACTCCATTATGGAATAACTCTCATTGGTGGGAAATTTTTCTTCATTGGAGGCAAAATCTACCTCCCTGTTACTTTCTGTCTTTGGTTAGTTCTGCCGCCAAGGGCCACACTGAATAAATTGTATCCCTTTTCATCAGGAGAGCATTTCAGAGGCTTGAGACATTTGAAGACAGTGATCGTGTTCCTCGCTGTCTTCTTCCATTCACTTTAAAGATCTTTTCCTTCATCTGAGGTGTAGCACTTAAAGCTCGGTCAGGCATCCTGGGCCATCACCAGTCATCTTGGCTTTTGTCTTGCCACTGGACTTCAGTGACTCAGGAAGAAAAAGTGAGGCTGATGACTTTGTACAACTCTGCCTCACTTAAATTCACGTGCAAATCAAGTTCATGGGTAGACTGGGCCCATATAATTTTTTAAAATGACAGTATTATCTAAATTAACTTCCTTAGTGTCATACCAATAAAACTACCAAAGATTACTTTGTAGAGCTAGAAAAAAATAATGAAATTCATATAGAGGAGCCAAAGATCAAAAATATGGACAGGAGAGAATGGGGAGAAAAATGGGAAAGAAGGAGGCCTAGCAACAGCTGACCTCAAATAATGTCATTGGTCTTCTTTGAAACAAAGCACAAACAACACCCCTATATTATTTATTTGTATTTATATATACATATATGTACATATACACACATACCAATTACAATTATGTAAAATGATTACATATTTGCTCTCATTTCCATAACACTTTACACTTACAAAGCATTTTTCTCATAACCATCATATGAAATAGAGAGTACAAATCGTGTTGCCTGACTGGGGACTTCATCATGTCTTCTGATCATACAATAAAGCCACCTGCGAGAAGATTTAGAGTTTAATGTTGTATAGGCTCTTCATTGACAGTTGTATTCTTGCTCTTTTTTTTTTTTAAAGTATATGCCAAAATAAGAACTCACATTCCAGGTGAATCTAAGATTCACAAAATCTTTTCCTTGGAATGTCCCTGTGAGGTAGGCATCTGCAATTATGTACATTTTATGTACAAGGAAACTGAGGCTGAGGGAAGCTTTAAGTAACTTGTCCATGGTCACATAACTATTGCAGGATTTTAATCAGCTCTTCTGATTTCAGGTTTAATATTTTGCCTCTAAAAGCTTTTGCTTACTGTCCACAGCTGTTTGTCAGATCCTCACAACTAAAATGTCGAATCCTGGTATTGTATATTATACTGAAGGGCCTACTCTAGAGATGGGGGAACCTCAGAGAGGCTAATCTCGATAGTGAGCAGAGCACTTGACTCAGTCAGGAGACCAAGGTCATGCCTTGGCTCTGCCACTACTTGGCCAAATGACTATAGGCATACAGTCCCTTGAAGTTCCTCCTAGAGCTCACCAGATACAGAAACTAACAGACTTCCATGGAGTCTGCTTTGGAGTTTGGAGGGGGGTGGAGGGAGCAGAAGGCCATGGATAGTACCAGGGGGCCAGAGGCCAATATGTACAGTTAACTTTAAAAACCAATGTCCCAAGGTGGGAGAGAGAGGGAGAGAGAGAGAGAGAGAGAGAGAGAGAGAGAGAGAGAGAGAGAGAGAGAGAGGAGAGGAGAGAGAGGGAGAGAGAGAGAGAGAGAGAGAGAGAGAAGAGAGAGAGAGAGAGGAGAGAGGAGAGGGAGAGAGAGAGAGAGAGAGAGAGAGAGAGAGAGAGAGAGAGAGAGAGAGACAGAAGAGAGAGAGAGAGAAGAGAGAGAGAGAGAGAGAGAGAGAGAGAGAGTGGTATCACTTACCTCCCAGGGCAGTTGGGAGGAAAGTGCTTTATTGATATTAATGCCCTCTAGAAATTAGCATTATGGCAGTGGTGGTGGTGATGTCACTAATAGTGATGATGGTGATGATGATGATGATGATTGTGTGTGACATAGCCCCATCCTAAAACAGGAAACAATGTCAGAGTGGGGCTTCAGCTGAATCAGGTCAAGATGTGGTCCAAAGTCACAAGTCAGCAAAGAAGACAAATGCAGAATATAGTATATCAAAGGCAGGGTTCACTAAGCTAGGCATCCTTGGGCCATATGTTTCACTTAGTTCTGCTGCTTTCCTGGGCTGAAAGATGTGGCCCCAGCCACTCTGATGGATGGTGGCGATGGACACTCTCAGCCTCAGTTCCCTCATCTATAAAATGGGCACAAAATCTGCACTATTTATCTCACACTGTTGTTCACGAACAAAGTACATTATCAGTTATAAAGTGCCATGTAAATGTGAACTAGTGTTACTGTTCCTCCCGATTCTTCTTGAAAAATTATTCCAGACACTTGCTATAATTAATTGGGGGAAGGGAGAGGCAAGAGGTAGAAGGGAAATTACAAGTCTGATGTCTTTCCTCTCAATCCATTTTCCTGCCTTTCTCTTCCGTGTTTCTGTGTTTCCATGTCTCTGTGTGTGTGATTTGTCCATTAACCCATTCAGGTGGAGAAGCCCAGTGCTCCAACCACCAAACCAAAAAAGACCCCGACAAGCCATAAACCGCTGAAGAAGGCCAAAGAGAAGCAGCTGACATCTGGCCGGAGCACCAAGAAAAAGGGCCCAACAGCGCGCGGAGCCAGCGGGGCTGGGCCACAAGACAAGGAGCAAAGTACAGAGATGAACAATAAACTGGCTGAGGCAAAAGAGTAAATTTCCTTGCACCTTCCTTCCTTTCCCCTCTTCTCTCCTTTGGGTTTTCTTTTGTTGTTGTTGTTATTTGTTTTCTTTTCTTTTTTTTTAAATAAAGGCCACAAAATTAATTAGAGCTTCTAATCTGCTTTGGTTATAAACCCGTTAGAAGCTTTTGGGGGAGGGAGAGGCTGGAGAGGGGTTTTTGGTTTCTTTTCCCATGGCTGGCTAGAAAGCCTCATTGCTAAGATCACAGATTCCATCATGCTTCCAGCACTCCAACCCACTCAGGACCATTAAGAGAGGGAGGCATGGAGCTACAATTACCCATGCATACCTATCCATGTTAGTACCCATCACTCTCCATCCCTACTGGGAACGAGATTAGAAGAGAAGGCTGAGAAAGATATTTGAGATAGGACTCAAGAGGCATGGTGCCATTGATAGATCACTGGCCTGGGTCTGAGTTCTGGTTCCACCATGAGGTTGGGCATTTCATTTATTCTTTCAGAGCCTCATCTGTTAAATAAGGGAGCTAGAGTAGATGATTTCTATGATCCCTTAAGGGTATGAATTTCAATGATTCCTTAAGATGTACTGATTTCACAGGGGTCTTCTTGACTTTCATGGAAATCTCCTGGTGCTGCTTTAAAGTATCCACAGAAATGCCTTCTCATGCTCATTTTTAGGGTCTTTCATGGAAGACATGTTCATTTCTCAAATTCAGATGATTATCATGTGTTGCAAAAAAAAAATGTCTGTAATTGTTTGTGGAAATATAATGAATGATCTTGGCCTTAATGTAGATAAAACAAAATTAGTCACAACTGTCAGGATTCATTGTGTTTTTATAGAAGGCTTCATTAGGAAGATAGAGCTATGTCTGTTTCCAGTAACTACCCTTGAAATTCTGTGTCAATTCACAAATGTGCTAAATGATCACGTGGAGCCAATGTAGGAATGACTTAGGAACATCCTAGAAGACAGGATCAGTTCACCAGGGAACAGAGATGGAAGCAGATGTTTGCCCTAGTGACTGAGTGTTATTTTGGCTCAGTGCCTCAGACTTTGTAGACAAGACCAATTCAAAGTCATGACACTGAAAGAAGAATCCAAGAGTCGTTGCTATAGAGCCTTTAGAAAGGGATCATCACATCTCTTAGAAAAAGGTAGGATTTAAAGTAGGGATAGTAGTAAAATTTGTGGTGGTTTTTTTTTTAAGTTTTCCTCTTTCCAAGCTCTTCTCTTTTCCTCAGAGAAGAACAGAGGTTGCTGAAGCACCACTTTGTAGGAAAGTTTCTAGGACTTGGTTGGAGACTGAGAGTTGTATGATAAAAGTGGTTAGCGAGGGTTTGGGACCTAAGTAAGGACCCAGTGAAGAGCTTGGTGTATTGTGTAACTTATCTGTATGGCTTGTGCCCCAGGTCTAAGGGTCACATTTTGTGTGTCACCATGGGAATCATTCCCAAGCTTAGCTTTAGAATATGAACTAGTTAGGATGTCAATGTGAACATACCTTCAGTACTTAGGAGGGCACCATGGAAATCACCCAGGGAAACAAGTCCTTGGGACCACTTGAGGACATAACTCATTCTGACATGCATGCTTTCATGGACCCCATCTCACTGATCTCATTCATAGTGATCTTCAATGTCCCCAAACCAAGGGAAATACCTTAACACTGCTTGACAGCAAGCATCAGCTGCTGATTCTTTTGTGTTTTTTCCTTTCATGCAAATAAGGGAAACTTGATATATCTTAGTGGAAGTAGAATAAAGGCCTCACAATTCCTCATTTCAAATATACCCTTGGGTCCTTCCTGTTCCCTGGAAGTGGACCATCACCAAGCTCTATGGGATTCTTAACCTTAAGGCCAGAGCCTCCATTTATACTTGTCTGTTTATGGGTCCTGATGAGTCTGACTGTCCAACTCCTCACAAATTAAGCACTTAAAATGCATAATGACACTTACTAGTGCCCCGTCAGACCCATCAGACCCACCTTTTATCTCAGGATATAGGACTGTGAGGAAGATAAAGAGCTATCGAAAATAGATGATATTAGTCAAAATCAGACCCTAAACTCTGCTCGTTCCTACTTAGGAAAGTTTGTTTCAAGATGCATTATAGATGAAGTCCAAATCTCAGCTATTAGCTGGCTAAACTTAACATTAATCAGAAGTTATTGTTAAGAGAGAACCAGATAATTTTGACGTTGCTCAAATTTCCATTGCTCTTTCCAAAACTCAGCATTCATCAGACAGGTTGACCCTAGCGATGGTTTGCGTTTTAGGTACAACACAATCATATAAATTCCCTTCAGATCATCTTGAATTCCTTTAAAAACTTTGAGCATTTCAAGCTAATATTTCAAAGTATGGGTAACGTAGAAGATTTTTTTTAACTGTGGGCCCCATTCTTGCCACTGTATGGTAGTTTTACGTACCTGACAGCAAAACTGTTTTGAGAACTTTTCCAAACAAATGATTTGGGGGCCAGGTGATTAACATCTATCGCCTGCATGCTGTCTGTCATGTAGTAACAAGAGCTCTAGTCTTGAAGGGAGGAGACCTGAGTTCATACACCAACTGTTAATATTTACTAGCCATGTGGCCCCAAGCAAATCACCTTCCCTCTTGGGATCTGTTTCATCATCTGCAAAATAGGGGTAGTAATCCACCTCACTGGAGCACTGTTACGAAAGTGCTTTGCAAGCCTTAAATAATAAATGTTTCCATAACGCCTTGTGGTATATAAACTGTAAGGTTTACAGACGATTTAAAAACCATCATCCCATCTTACCAATGAAGAAATTAAGGTTTAGCGAGGTTAAGCGATTTATCTGGGGTCACGTGGTACTATATGTCAACGTGAATTAATAACATTATTATTACACACTCGCACAAAATGATATTTGTGAAAGTCACTATACACAGTGGCATGGTTTAAAATGTCTTGTAGCTATGTTCTCATATATAAAGATGTACTCTTCAGTTTGGCCTGAAGCTACAGATGGCTTCCGCAGCTCTGCACAAAGGATAGAATTTGACCTCTTGTCATTGAATTTAGTGAAGGATATTGCAAATAGTCTAGTCTGCATTCAGGTCCTGGGCCTTCCAGGACAGAACCCCAAGTGATTCGATCTAGGAAGTCCAGGTGATGATAGCTCAGAAGCATTTGGTGTGTGCTGTGACTGGCCAGGGAGAAGGGAGCCAGAAGACCAGTTACATGGGGTAGGCATCCGTTCTTAAAAAGCCACATAACTAAGGAGTGTCATCAAGAAAGCTCATTCATTCACTCATTTATTCAACATTTAGCAAGCATTTATTAAGTACCTACTGCATGCCATTTAGAGTTTCCTTTGAATCTTGGGCTTTTTTGGAAAATCCTTTTTCCCATTTCCAAATATGACTCACCAGGGATTTGGCCACCAGATGATGAATTTTCTTGGCCACAGTAACTCATGAAAGAGTCTGCTAAAGCATGGGGGGGGTTGCAGTCTGTCTTACCGAGGGGAATGCTCACGCCAATGAAATCACGTATCTTTCAAGTGTTAAAGGATGACTCCGACAGAGCAGATTCCACTCCAGCTTAATTCCCGTGCCAATTTGTAATCGCTGTAGGTTTCATGTAAAATGTACTCTCTCCTCCTTATGAAAATGGAGGTGCTTTGACCACCTGCTTCGTACCATTTTGTCCTTGTATCTGGCTACCTCCCTTTGCAACGTCATGCTCAAGTTGTTCTTTTGTTTGTCCTGAGAGTTTGCTGAATAAAAATCCATGCTCTTGCTTACCTGCGGCTTTCTGTTTGCTACATTCTTCTCATCAGACCCATGGACTTTTGCCTTGTTGCGCCAGATCGGAAGCATCTAATTACTATTTTGTGGCCTGGGTTTTGTCACCTCTCATGGATTATCTATGTATTGTGCTGAGCCTTCTGGCCTTGCTGTTAGTAGGAGAATGACACAAAGTACCCATGTATAGCCAATTGATTGTGACGTGCTTGTGGTCTTTGCTTGCTCAAAAAAAACCAAAAAAAACATACATACATACACCGGGTTTTTTTTTCCCCCAATGATAAATAAATGCTAAAGACAAATACCATTTTCTTGATCTTGTTTCGTTGATGAGATGCAGTGGGTAAGTGAAGGAGCTTCCAACCTTCTGTATTTGAGCCCTGTCCCACAGCATGAGCTGTGCTATGCCGTTGCCAGGGTTCACCATAATGCAGTTTGCCTCTTGTAGATTGACACCCAAATCCTAAACATATGCTGTACGAATTAACTCTATGTTGGGAAAAATGAAGATGGACCCTGAGACCCACTGACCAGATCAGGTAGTATGATTTTTTTTTAATTTCAAATACTGATGAAGGAATGACTGCTTTCATCTTCACCATCCTGCATGCCAAGGTGTGTAAACTTTAAGATTTATCAAAAGTTTTCTCTACAACAGGTCTGTGAGGTAGGTAGCACATGGAGAATTATGCCAGTTTTACAGATAAAAAAAGCTGAAACTCAGAAAGAACAAATCACTTACCCAGGATCATAAATTAAGCCTAGAATTTCTGTATCCAATGGTTCTCTTTTCATTATACCACATTGCCTCCTGTATGACTGAGTCCTTACATACTTCCTTTAGGGTATCCAAAATGTCAAGTATTGATTAAGAGTCAACTTAGTGGAGTGAAATGGATGCTGGACTTGATGACAGAAGACTTGGACTTAGGCCTCAATTCAGTCACTTACTAGCCATGTGACCATGCACAAGTCAGCAAGTCAATAAACGTTTATTAAGCACCTTCTATGTGCCAGGCACTGTGCTAACCATTAGGGCTACCAAGAAAGGCAAAAAACCCCAACATTCTCAAGAAGCTCACTCCCAGTGGGAGAGACAACTTGCAAACGACTGTATACAAACAAGATAAATACAGGCTACAATGGAAATACTCTTAGAAGGAAGGCACTAGCATTAAGGGGGATTAGGAAAAGAACATGCTACTTTTCTCTCCAAGCTTCAGTTTACTTATCTGTAAAACAGGAAAAATAATATTCAAACAACCTACCTGATGGAGTTCTTATGAGGAAAATTACTTGTCAACTATAATAATGTATGTATGTACATATACATGTGTGTGTGTGTGTGTGTACTTCCTAGAGAAATGGTAGTTATTTTTATGACCAGGTTTTATTCTACGAGATGGCAAAAATCACTGGGAAAAGTCACATATCAAATTAATTCAATTAGACCACAATTTTCAATTCTGATATATACATGTGCATCTGTATATATGTATATACAGATATCCATATATAGGTATGTGTGTGTGCACATATATCCACATGTATGTATTGTACATATATGTCATGTCAGTATATGCATACACACGTCTGTATATGTATACATGTGTGTATGCATATATACATGTGCGTGTGTCTATACATATCCTACATATACATACATGGAAAGCATACATATACATAATCTATTCCAGTTGTCAGTGACCAGTAAGGGAGAGACTGAAGCAGGGTATAAAACAGTAGAAAACAAGATTAGGAATCCGAACACTTGTGTCTTAGTTCTGACCACTGACTTACTGTATGGCCTTGGACCGAGTTCCTTCCCATCTCCTACCAAACCTCAGTTTCCTCTATTATAAAATGAGGTATTTGGGCGATATAATATCTGAGGTTTCTCTCAGCTTTAACAGTCCGTGAACCTGTACCAGATATCTTCTTTTAAGTGTGTATTGGTGGAGGGGAAGGAGGGAGGGTAGAGAAGAGGTTAGAGAAAACCAGATGGAAAAGGAATAACTAAGAAAGATTTTTGAAAAGAGAGACCAAAAAAATGCAGAAACAGGGAGCTTGAAGCGGAAGAAGACACAAAATCAGCTGACAAAAGAAAGGTGGGAAGTTCTATTAACAAATATATCCCATGATGTACAGGAGAGCAATTCTATATAATTTAGCATACCTCTGGTTGTGAAAATGCCTCTTTGATGTCTGCCAAATTACTAGGAATCTGGTATAACTTGTTAATTCTCCCTTTTAAAATGTAAAAGAAAGTAGTTGTGGCCAAAACTTGCCTGAAGCATTTGAATTCTTACCAAAATTCAGGGAATAGAGGTAATCTTGAAATTTTCTCTTCATCATTTTCAATTGGAGGTAAACTAACTTTCTGCTCGTGAAATTCAGGAGAGTTACATGTCATTTGATAATGGAAAAGGTTATCCCAGCCTTAAAGGCCATTGACCTTGAGGACCACAGCTACTGAGGTACTTTAAAGACATTTTGTGTGTTCAAAATTATAGCAAAAAACATATTTAATGGAACTTTACAGATGGACCATATGAAATTATCAAGGGCCAGGGATTCCCCATTCCTACTTTTAGTGTGGGAGACTTTAAGATGCCATCCAGGACAATAGGCAGTGTAAAATGGCTTAGCTCATGACTAAGCCCAACAGGGCTTTCTTTGGATATGTTCATCTTATTGAACTAAATTATGAGTTAAAAGGAAGTTTTTAAACGGTAGATCATACGTTGAGATTTCCCCATTCGGTGACAAAAGTATCATCACATTTCTATAATCCTTTAAATATTACAAAGCTCTTTACAACATACACACACACACACACACACACACACACACACACACACACACACATGTGTTAATCTCCATTTTACAGATGAAGGAATTGAGGTTCTAAGAGGCTCAGTTCAGTAAAGCCTTGCCCAAAGTCACAGGTAGTGTCAGAGCTGGGATTTGAACCCAGGGCTCCTGAGTACAAAATCTCAAGAGTTGGAAGGGTCCCTCAGTATCTCTCCTACAAAATAATGACTTTTCTGCATTTGATGTTTACCAAGTGCTATACAATTACCTTTTTTTTTTATCCTCACAACAATCCTGGGGAGGTGGGTGCTATTATTATCATTACCATTTTACAGATGAGGAAACGGAAGCAGAGTTTCAGTAATTTTCCCAGGGTCACACAGCCAGCAAGTGTCTTAAGGCTGGATTTGAACTCATGTCTTCTTGATTCCATGCCTGGCACTCCACTGTGCCCCTAGCTGACTCTAACTTTGAACCCAAGTTGGCTTAATCTGGGTATCATACAATGGAACTATTGTCTCCTTTTATCCTGGACACTACGACTCTCTAACATGCGCAGACTAAAACCTTTTTGGCTAACATGTCCCTGTTGATGGATATCGAGCTTGCAGTCAACTCTAGGCTTTGTGTCACCCCCCGATTCCTACAGATCAAGCAATGGTTCAGAAATCCAAACCCCATTCTCAGACACCATCTTCTTACATGGGAATAGATTGTCCAGGGTCCCTTCCCAACCCTGTATTTGTGAAGTTAATTTTTGAACCTTAGCATTGATCTTTACATTTGTTCTTAATGAATTTCATCCTATTAGATTCAGCCCACCATTACAATCCATTGAGATCTTTTTGGCTCTGAACCTTGTCTTCCAAAATGTTAGTTATTCCTCATGTCATCTACAAATTTGACAAGTATATCCTCTATGCCCTTATCTAAGTGATAAATAGGTGTACTACATCTTCTACTGGCCTAACAGCCTGACTACCCCGTCAAGACTGGGAATGAGTCTTGTGTAGCACAATGAGCTCCTAATGAGCCCATATTGGCCCTTAATGATCACCCATCCCCTACGTACCTACAAGTCATCTAGACTTGTTCTAGAAACTAACCAGGAATTAAAGTCAAGCTCATTTTCCTATATCTTGTAGACTGTTTCTCTCACCTTTTTGAAACTCAGAACATTTGCCATGCAGCAGTACCTCTCCTTTTCTCCAAGACAGTGGTTCAGCAATCACATTGCCAGCTCTTTCTATACTTTGGGGTATAGCTCATATGGGACTAGTGACTTCTGTCTAAGCACCTCCTCGCCTATTTTGAGTTTCCAGTCCCTACTCACTATTTTTGTTCTAGTCTTCCTAGTCCAAATATAATTGTTCATGGAAGAGAACAGGGGTAAAAGGAATTCAGGTAGTTCAGCTTTCTTACCACCCTCCATTTTCATAGACTAGGATTTCCTACTAGAGTCACTTGTTCCTACAGTCCCTGTTCTTTCTCTTGAAGCAGCTAGTTTCTCATTCATAAGTATTAGTTCTAGAATAGCAGTTCCCTTTGTCTCTTCCTTCACCTTAAAAATGATTAAATTAGCATTAAAGCAAGTTACAAATTATCTGCTGCTCTGTATATGATAGTAAAAAGAGAGAGAGAGATTGAGATTGAGATTTTAGGTGTTGTGCAGTCATTTTTCAGTTGCATTTGACTCTTTGTGACCCCATTTGGGGTTTTCTTTGTAAAACTGGAGTAGTTTGCCATTTCCTTCGGCTCATTTTGCAATTGAAAAAACTGAGGCAAACAGAGTTAAATGACTCACTCAGTATTACACGGTTAGTGTCTGAGGCCAGATTTAAACTCATGAAGATGAGTCTTCCTGACTCCAGGCCTGACACTCTATCTCCTGCACCACCTAGCTGCCCAAATGATTAGTGCCCCTATCACAACTATATCCAGCTTCCATTCCTAGTTTGTGATGTGTTTCCCACATTCCTCAAATTCCTCCTTTTGTACAGATGGCTTGTAGTATACTCTGATGACAGCGCTCTCTTTCTGCCTCTATTAATGTTTACCCAAATGCCCTCCACCATGGTCCCCTCCCCACCACCATTGTGTCCCTGGATTTACTCATCTATTTTCTTACTAGACAATGCTGCTCTGCTTACCAAACTCTCATCTTGTCTCTTCTGGCTTGTTTTTGCTTTTTTTTTAAAGTAAGATCTCTGTTTGTTAGTCCCATCCCACCAAGTCTCAAAGATACCTATAATATAAAAATTGCCTCCTTGGATTATAATCTCTAATTCATCTTGTTTTTAGTATTTGTCCTTGGTGCATTTGTTTATAGATGTGGATAGCCCCAGTTTTATTGCTGATACTCTTCTTGATTCTTGCTTACTCAGAATTACTGATCCTGTCTTTTATTTTGTTGTTGTTGTTATATTCACAATTCTTTAAGTTTCCAAGTTTGTCCAATCTACTTAAACAGGTTTTTTTTCTTTCTTCTTTCTT